ATTGCTTTATTTTGGGTCAGGTCCAATCGGGTCCGGGTCCCATAATATTTTTGGGTCTGGGTCACCTCTATATTTTCCCTTTGTTTTTAGATTATTTCTATAATACCCTCATAACAAATTGATTGTTTTCAAAATCAAAATTTTCATTACTTTTTTAACCTCATTACATGTTCTTTGTTTAATTTTATTTTAAACATATTTTTTCTATTTTTGGGATTTTTTTTTTGTAATTTTCTATTTTTTAACACTTTGTAGCTTGGCAAAAACTCAAACTTACTTGCGCTAGGTTATTCGAACTCGGGCCAAGTACTAGGCTCGGGCACAGATCGAGTACGCAGCCAAAGTTTCGAACACTGCTATGAAGTACGGAATTCGGCCATGATCAACACGAGAGAGAGTCCTTGTGGCAATTTGCCCTACCTCTCATTCCTTTGGAAATAAGCAACATCCTATGACTATAAATACCATCAGAACACGACGACCAATTCATTTTAAGTACTTAAAACGATTGAAATCCAACAATCTCAAATTCTCGAGCAGCAATAAGTTGCTCAACAGGCCATAACAATAACAAGAAAAATAGCAAATTGAGTGGCAGAAAAACGGAGCAAAAACCCAGAAGAATTATCCACTATATTTGGTGGCTGAGTATTCGGTGGCTGAGAAAGAGGAGAATGACTTTCAGGTGGAGGAGGGAAACTTGTAGGAGGAGGAGGGAGAGCTGGTGGAGGTGGTGGAGGGAATACTGTTGCATTGAAGAAAGGGTAAATCTCATAACGAGCACTGCAACTCCCTGTATGAACTTGAGCCCCAATACTGTCGCCATAAACCGCAAGATCGCTGATAATCATTCTCAGGCAATTCGAACAGTTATCACGATTAAGGTTCCTGGTGCACTGCACAAGCCCATATATGCTCTCTGTCTCATTTACACCAATCTCCCTTGTAGCATACAAGAATTTGGATGTGTCATTCACAACTGTGGAGGAGAGATTACCCATCAATTGTCCTACTCTGTCTCTAAAAAGATCTGGGTTTGTGACATTTTGTCTATTGTAAAGGAGAACCTCGTTAATATCAATAGAGGAGAAGAACCATGAATCTGAGTAGTGCAATAAGCATTCATCGAACCAGAGGATGGCTGATTTGCTATTGGGGCAGTAACCCGTTATGTCTGTGCCTGCAACCCCGGCACAGTCGTGGCATTCTTGGCTTTCTTGGTCACCCCTGCACTGAATTAGCCCATAGGCTTGGTCTGGGCTCGTGCCTTTCGTGTCGTTGTAGAAGCCTGTGAGTGAAGCATTTCCTGGTAGTGAGCGGAAAAGCTCATACAAGTTGCTCTCGAAAGGGCTATTAGCTGTATAATTTGTGTCTCCTAAGCAGTAGTAGTCGACGAAAATGAACGCGTTAACAGGGTTAGTGAGAAGCAAAGCACAAGAGAAAACGAGGAAGAAGCAAAGGCACGAGAAAGGAACAGGATTCATTTTCGGCAGCTTTGTTCTCAATTTGGCAGAAAATAGAGAGACAGGTGTTTCACCTGCTCACTGGCTATGTTCAGGGTTGTCTCTGTTAGTTGAATGACTTTAGGAGCTTCAATTTGGTTATCATTCATGGAGTGGAAGACGACGAGGGCAGGCATAGGAATTGCCCCCGTATGAATAGACTGGTAGATACTTCATTGTTAACGACATGCCGCCCTCTCTTGTTTGTGGGTGGTAGAGACTTCATTTTAAACTAGGTTTCTTTTAAATTAATGTTCTGTGATGTGCTCCCTTTCATTTCCCATGGGTGCGGCTAGCAGAAGGCCCAGGGTAAAGGGGTGGCAATGGACCAGAGGATCAGACCCAACCCTGGTCTAGGTATGGGTTCAAAAATTGGATCTGATAGGTCTGGTCCGGGTCCAAATCTTGGATTTGAATACTATTTTAGTTTTGGATCCAAATCTTGAATCTTAATATTTAAATAATATTTATTATAAGTTATTATTTAAATAATATTTAAATAAATCTAATTTTATATTTTAGATATAATCCTTTAAATAATATGTATGTATATTTAACAAATTTATTAAATATACTTAAAGGAAAATGGTCTGATAGGGCTGCAATCCTTTCAAAATAAGTAAAGTAAATCCACACCTCATAGCTCATCGAAAATTATAGTTCAAGCGTTGAAAAACTTTTACATCAATCATCTCAGCGTGAGCATTATGATCGTGAAAAAAATTAGGATTTTAAGTACTAAAATAATGTATATCGTAAAAAATTATCTAGACTATCCATTTCATCGTAAATAAGTGTTCATAGATCTGAACCATTTTTTTAGTGTCCAATCTTATTTTCGGTGTTAGAAATTGATTAAAAAGGCATTATGGAGTTTTTCATTGCCGGAAGTTCTCTCCAGATGAGGATTTAAGGTAAGCCTTTATTTTGTTTTCATAAAACCTATTATAGAAACTTCATCCTTATTTAGATATATTTAAACATCTAGATACTATTTTTGGGTCAAGTACGACCTAACCAGTTGCCACCCCTACCAGGGTCTACAATTAAAAGTAAAATCTGGTGGAAAAATGCAGCACTATTTCTAGAAAATGTACAACGGTATAAAAAATTCTATTTGCACTCTTGTATTAGGAAGATTGAAACTCTGAAAATGGGACATTATTTATCTTTATTACAAGTTACAATTACTCCAAGCAATTAGATGTCAAATTGAATGGTTTGTGGTGCATCACAAAGCTTAGAAATTTTTTCTTTGAAGTTCGAGTCTAGTTGAAGTCACACTCACAACCACCTAATTTGAATCTGACAAACAATAGTGGTTGTGATCTCCTTATACTAAAAGTAAATGCTCTCTTTATTTACTTTTCTTTTAGCCATTGATATCTACTGCTTTCGAGATTCATAATTGTCTTCGTCGAAATCATCAATTTGAGAATTCTTAGGTGTAGAAACTAAATGTTTTGGAAGAACTTTTGAGGTGTAGCTTTACTAGGCTTAGATAAACTTTTCCATAATAATTTGAGTTCCTCCGAAAACCTAAAATCCCAACGTCAATCTTCTTGCCAGATCCAGATTAGTTTTCCTTTGCCATTACTTTTACTGTTTTTTATTGTATAATAGGTCATTATTTTGCTCCATAAAAGTTGCAAGCGCCAACTATCCACGAGACGGTTATGAGGGGCTCGGCAGCCGTAAGAGAACAGCATGGCAGCATGAAGGTTTTACTCAGTACATCAAGACAGTGTTTTGAAAATGGGAATTGGTGGGTTGAACCGGTCCTCCACTGATTCTAAGACTGCCTCGAGAAGTATAATCCATACCTCTCAATATTGTAGAGAATAAAAACTAAGATTTAAAAGAAGGGTGAGATTTCCATAAAGTTGCAACCTTAAACAATCCATTGTGCACCTTCAAATTTTATCATAACATATAATTTTGATGTAAAATATTTTTAAGATTATCTCAAAAATCTATTTTCACGTCTAATTATAAAATTTTAAACTCAAAAAATAATTAAAATCAAGTAGATCTATAAATATATGAAAATCTTGAAAATTGACAGTCTAGATAATGTGTTGTAAGATGCACCATTTCTAAGACTCAAAATCTTTTTTTTTTTTTCATAATCATTCATCTCGATGTCGAGATGTTCAATTAGAGGGTTTTTCAATATTAAAACAACTTTTTCCGATGGATTTTTGAGGTGCATCCGTAGTTCTACATTTTATGTTGCAACTTTATATAAACTTTGCCCTTAAAAGAATAAGGGAAAGAAAAATAGTGCAGAAAATAAAAGAAGAGATACATAAAGATTTAAGCCTATATCCATGGGGCAACAAAGTTCTCTTGCACTAATCACAAAAACTGGAGCAACAAAGTTATATTCCACTAATCAAAAAAACATCATGCAAGCATGTAGAATAGAAAAGATTACAAACTCTCTCTCAAGCCCTAAAACAAGGTCTTTTTCTCTCTCTAGAACACCTACCTAAATGACTAAAGAACTAACCATCTTCAGTATATTTTTCCTTGCACACTCTATTTCATATGTTTTCTCTCTACAAAACTCTCTTTATAAAGACGAAAAATCCATATATAAATCACCCATGATACTAGGAAGCCCAAACGATATCTCAATATTTAATGAGATATACCAAATCCCTTAAAACAAAAAAACACATTAGGATTCACATAAATCCTAAACATGGTTTCACCCTAATATTCTCCCACTTGAAAACATGTTACTAATCATCAAATAACCACAAGCTTCAAGGAAATCTTGTACCGAGTGAACTTATCTTTTACAATAGGCTTAATCAACATATCCACGGGATTGTCATTAATATGAATCTTTTACATTAAAAGTCTTCCATCTTGTACCACATCACAAATAAAGTGATAGTGAGTGTCAATATGTTTAAATGTCATAGAAAGCTAGATTCCTTTTGAGAATGAGAAATGGCTCCAAGCAATGTAGCATTCCTATTGTGTTTTGGTCCGTTAAATTTTCATACCTAAAGATTAAATCGTTTGCTAGCACTTAATATGTTCCAATAGCAATGTAGTGGTGGGAGAAATGAAGTTATTTGACAAGGGTTTTTCAGATGTTTAGAGATGCATTTATCTTATAACTCTAAATTGTCATTGGGAGAGTGGATTCTACTTGCCGAGGCAGTGGACAATGTTGTAGCTCTTTAGGCTAAACAACTAAGTATTTTGTATTATTGTGGCATGCTTTTGTTTTTGCTTTCTCCAACTCCATATTTTTGCTTGTATTCCATCTTGTTCATATTCAAAATAACATGTCCACAATCTTGTGTGGGATCTAGGCATTTAGGTTTCAAAATTCCACATGCATAGGGTTCTTGAGGACCTCATAGTTAATAATGAATGACAAATTGAATGTCATTAGAAAAAAACGGTATCCTATGTTTATCTTCAACCATCCCATATCAAGGTGTGGTTAAGATCACAAAGGATGGTTGGATTAAAGTTATGAAGATTGGACCAGATTGGCAGTTCAATCGGTAGAACCAGAGATCGGACCCTTATCCAGTCCGACCAGAGCACAAAACAGTATTTGTTCCCAACCAGTCCAAAATGGTGGTTGACTAGGTGAACTGGTTTGACCACTATTTTTTTCAAGTACTCTTGGATTAACGGCCTCAATCTTCCCCCACCTCTTTTGCTTTTTTTTTGTTTTTTTGGCAAAAAAAAAAAATTTGGCTTTTTTTTTTTTTTATTTAAGTTGCAGATGATATTTTATTTCCAAAATTTTTAATCCATATGAGATCTCAAGATTTTGGCAAAAAACATGATCCAAAATGGTTAATTTTTTTTATTTTTTTCAAACTTTAATTGGTAGAGGTATGCACTTCTACTTTATAGAAGTACTCCATTGATTGTATTACTCAATCTTTATTTGAAATAATTCATTCTCTTTACGAATTGTTTCTTTAATGCTTGAGAGACAATTCTCTTGCATGTAATTGAAGAGACTCCTTTTGTGGGGGAACAATTATAAGTCCATGGGAAGATACAAATGATTGATGGATGATAATATCGTGAGATTATGACATGATTTTCAATAATTATTTATTTAAATAATATAAATTATTTCTTCTCTATTGATTTAAAAGTCTTTTTTTTTGTTTTATGTTTATGGAGCATGGATAATAATAGTTTATGATTAGTGATGTCATACGTTAGATAGATTTTTGTAATAGAATAATGTGACGTACTAAATTTTAAAATTCAATATTTATTTTTTTGCACTATTTGGATTCTTTTTTTTTTTTTTTTTCAAAAAAGCTCTTATTTTGAACTAGTTTTGAATTGTTTTATGTAAGAGTTTCACACTTTATATTGAATCTCTGAAATTTGGTTAGTATTTTAATTACTTATATATACGCAAAAGTTTGTATAGAGCCAAGGCTCTAAACAATCAAAGTAAAGCATACCTTCAAATAGTGTCCGAGAAATGTAGCTCAATACTGGAAATCTTTGTGTTTACATAGAACCGAGGCTCTAAACAATCAAGTAAAGCGTACCTTCAAATAGTATCGAGAAATGTGGTTTCAATATTGGAAATCTTTGTGATAGCCTTAAAATATATTTTCATATGTAATTATAAATTTTCAAGCTTAATAAAAAAAGTGTAAATCGAGCAGATCTATGAAAACTTGAAAATTTTGAAAATTGATGGTCTAAAAATGCATTACAAGATACACTATTTCAACACTTGAAATCTATTTTTTTCTCATTTCCATGGTGTTCTCTAATTTAATTGTTTTGAGCCTCTACTCTATACAAAAAATTTTCTTATTAAATGTGGCTCTTCATTTTGCTTTGAATTTACTACCACTTGTGAAGAGATTTAGGAGAGCATAACCCACTAAAGTATCCATGTAGAAAAATCAAGCAAAAAGAACAAAAAGAATAAATAAATAAATAAACAAAAATATATATAAATAAGAGAA